GTTTCAAGAGAGAGTCTGGCTGTTACCCTAAGTAAAAGGAGCAATCAAGAAAGCCCGCAGTTTAGTGAAGTAAAATCATTCGAAAGAAAATAAAATAATCAAAGACTTTATTTTGAATAACAGGAAAATAATTCACCTAGGTTTTTTTTTAATTCATTTTACTGGGAGCTCGTACAATTGTTATCACAATCCATAAATACATCCATTGTGTCAAGCACATTTGTACATTGGTGACATCTCCATTCTCAAACCTTTTTCTTTCTACTTGAGCCCTTGGTATCAGCTCCTCATTTTTCCCCCTCCCTCCTGCACGGTCCCTCCCTCCCTAACCCTTGATAATTCATAAATTATTATTATTTTGTCATGTCTTACACTGTCCGATATCTCCCCTCACCCACTTTTCTTTGTCCATCCCTCAGGGAAGGGGTTACCTGTACATCATTGTGATCGGTTCCCCCTTTCTACTCCACCTTACCCTTACCCTCTTGGTATTGTCACTCTCATTATTGGTCCTGAGGAGCTTATCTGTCCTGGATTCTCTGTGTTTCCAGTTCCCATCTGTACCAGTCAGTGTACATCCTCTGGTCTAGCCAGATTGGTAAGGTAGAATTGGGATCACGATGGGGGCGGTGGGGCGGTGGGAGTGTTAAAGAACTAGAGGAAAGTTGTATGTTTCATTGGTGCTACACTGCACCCTGACTGGCTCGTCTCCTCCCCATGACCCTTCTGTAAGGGGATGTCCAGTTGCCTACAGATGAGCTTTGGGTCTGCACTCTGAACTCCCCCTCATTCACAGTGATATGATTTTTTGTTCTTTGTTGCCTGATACCTGATTCTAATTGACACCTCATGATCACACAGGCTTGTGTGCTTCTTCCATGTGGGCTTTGTTGCTTCATCTCGATTTATCCATCCTTAAAAAGTTATGAAAAGTTTTGCCTAATTCCATGATGTTTGATAGGGACTTTCCCGACACAATCGCTGAAGACAAAATGAGTGCATAAGCAAATGTGGTGAAGAGAGCTGATGGTGCCTGGCTATTAAAAGATATAGCGTCTATAGTCTTAAAGGCTTGAAGATAAACAAGCAGCCATCTAGCTGAGAAGCATCAAAGCTGACTTGGAAGAAGCACACCAGCCTGTGTGATCATGAGGTGTTGATAGGATCAGGTATCAGGCATCAAAGACCCAGAACAAAAAAT